GAACATCTTAGAAGAGAAAGCCGGAGGTACCCTTGAACAAATTGGTATAGGAGACTGCTTCCTGAACATAACTCCAGTAGCACAGACACTGAGATCAACAATTAATAAATGGGACCTCTTCAAACTTATAAGCTTTTGTAAGGCAAAGGACACAGTGGACAAGACCAAACGGCATCCCACAGACTGGGAAAAGAATTTCACCAATCCTACATCTGACAAAGGGCTGATCTCCAAAATATACAAAGAACTCAAGAAACTAGTCAAGAAAAAACCAAATAACCCTATTAAAATGGGGTACAGAACTGAATAGAGAATTCTCAATAGAGTAAATCAAAGAGGCTGAAAGACACTTAAGAAAGTGCTCCACATCCTTAGCTATCAGGGAAATGCAAATCAAAACAACTTTGAGATACCATCTTACTCCTGTCAGAATGGCTAAAATTAGAAACACCAATGACAACTCATGCTGGAGAGGATGTGGAGAAAGGGGAACACTCCTCCACTGCTGGTGGGAGTGCAAAGTTGTACAGCCATTTTGGAAATCAGTATGGCGGTTCCTCAGGAAAGTGGGAATTAGTTTACCACAGGACCCTGCAATCGCCCTCTTAGGCATATACCGAAATGATCCACATCCATGCAACAAAGACATGTGGTCAGCTATGTTCATAGCAGCATTATTTGTAATAGCAAGGTCCTGGAAGCAAGGTCCTAGATACCCCTCAACTGAAGAATGGATAAAGAAGATGTGGAACATCTACACAATGGAATACTACTCTGAAGAAAAAATAATGGAATCTTGAAATTCACAGGCAAGTGGATGAAATTTGAAGAAACCATACTGAATGAGGTAACCCAGTCACACAAAGAGGAATATGGTATATATTCATTAATATATGGATTTTAGACCTAGAGCAAAGGATCACCAGCTTATAATTCACAGCACCAGAGGAAGTAGGATACAAGGTGTATTCTAAGAGATTCACATAAAGTCCCTCACAAAGTGGGGAAGGGACAAGTCCCCCAGAACACAATGGGAACTGGGGGGGCTGTGAATGGAGAGAGAAGTAGGAGAAAGAGAAGAGGAAAGCACTTGCTATTAGGAAGATTGAGTCAGGGTAAGAATAGAAGACAGAATGGAGCGAGGGAGAGAGAGAGAGAGAGAGAGAGAGAGAGAGAGAGAGAGAACATAAAAGAAGGAGCCATTATTGGTTTGAAGAGAAAACTGTACCTAAAGAAACCTACAAGACTGACTCCAACTGACAATTTGAGCAACCGTGGAAAAGCTACCATAAATGCCCTTCCCTGATAGTGAGATCAACAACTAAGTTATCCACCATCATATAGCCCTCATCTAGTACATTATGGAAACAGAAGCAAGCACCCCTAACTAAACACTGAGTCCAACTAGAATCCGGATGCAGAGAGGACAAGCCCAGCATACAGAAACACATAGAGACAGCTGACCTGAACTAGGAGGGAATCCCCAGGCTGATAGATGGGAATCCAGAATGGGACTGACTCAGACCCCCTGAATATGAGTCTCTTTAGAAGGACTGAGCAGTCTAAGGGACCTCAGTCAGTGGAGCCAGGATGTATTCCTGGTGTACCTTGTGGATACATCCCCCATGGAGATATATTCCCTTTACTTAGAGACAGGTGAGAAGTCCTAGTCCCTACTTCAAATGACTTGACAGATTTACATGACCCCACCTAGATGGCATAGCCCTACATGTGGAATGGGGATGGAGGGAGGGGGGAGGGTGCATGTTAGGGGGGGAAGAGAGGTTATGAGGGAGGGAGGGAGGAAGAGGGAAGTGGGATCGACATGTTAAAAAGAAAGAAAGAAATGATTCCATAAAGGAAAATAAATTAATAACAAGCATGAAATTTCACAGAGCTAGCACTGTGTTGAAGAAACATTTCCACAGTGACCGAGGTCAATGAATACCTTCTTAAAATACTTTTTTGGCCATCTGTATTTCGTATTTGAAAACAGTCTGCTTGTCTATTTGCTAATCGGTAGTTTGGCCTTTTGCACTTAATTTTAGCAGTTCTTTTAAATTCTAGATACTAGCATCTCTACCTGTAGCATAACTGGCTGGTTTTTCTTCCATTTTGTAGGCTGTCTTCTGTTCAGTCTGCTGCTGACTTCCGTTACAGTGCAGAAACATAAATTTCATGGAGTCCAACTTGCTAATTCATGCTACCTGTGCTATTAAAGTCCAGATCAGAAATTTGTTGTCTATTCTTATATCATAACGTTTGGTTCCTATGCTTTCCTCTAGTGGTTTCAGCATTTCAGGTTTTAAATTAAAATCATTGGTCAACCTTTGAGGTTTTCATATCACATCACATCTCATTTTCTGAAGGTGTACGGACATTGCTATCACTACTTTTGTTGAATAGTGTGTCTTCTTTTCACTCCCCTTTATGTCACCAATGTCATCAGATATCAGGTGGCCACAGCTGTATGGACTAATTTCTGGGTCCTCTGTTCTGTTTCACTGGGCTCCACATCTGTATTGTACCAGTATCATATTCCCTTTGTCACAGTAGCATTATAGTATAATTTGAGGTCCTTTTCCTCAAGGTATTTGATCTGTTATGTATCTGTCAATGCAAGAGTACAGAAACTCTTTTCATGTCTGTATCTTCTTTGGTTTCTTTCTTTTTTTTTTTTTTTTCAGTGTACACACGTTTTCATTGTAGAGAACTTTCACTTCCTTGGTTAAGGTTATTCCTAAGTACTTTATTTTGGGTGGATCTATAATGACTGGAATATTTTCCCAATTTCTTTCCCAGTGATTCCACTATTGATAGATACGAAAGCCCCTGATTTCTTTTTTGTATGCCAATTTTGTATCCCAAAAGTTTACTGAAAGTATCTACTAGATTGAAGAGTTTCCTGGTAGAGTTTATACTGTCTTTTAGGTATCTATGATATAGTCTATTGATAGGGACAATTTGACTTCTTTCTTTACTATTTTTTATACCTCTTGTCTAATTGCTCTGGTTAAGTCTTTAGGCACTTTACTTAACAAGAGTGCCAACAATGGGCCTTCTTGTCTTGTTACAGATTTTAGAGGAAATGTTTAAATTCCCCCCTTAGCAAAATATGGCTTACATATTTGTTGTATATATCATTAATCATTTTCAGTTATGTTGAGCCTGTTCCTAATTTCTCCAGGGCTTCTATCATAAGACATATTCAACTGTGTTAACTGCCATTTTTTTGTAGTCATCTGATTTCTGTCATTTAGTTTATTTGCATAGTATAGTGGTACTGGTGTGTACATTGAACCAAGCTCATCACTTAGTCACGATGTATGACAATCTTAATGTTTTTAAATTATATTACATATTTTGAGTATGTTTGAATTATGTAATGTATTTTGAATTTTTTATTATTTTGTTCACAAGTTTTTGTAGCACTGTTCATCAGGAAAATGATTCTGTAATTGTTGTTGTTGTATCTTTATCCAGCTTTATTCAGGACAATACTAGCTTCATAGAATGAATTTAGTACTCTTTCATTTTCTAGTTTGAGAAACAATTTCAGAAATGAAAGTATTAGAACTTTCTTAAAAGTTTGACAGAATTCAGTCAACAGTCCATCTGATCCTGGGCTTTTCTTTTGGGGAGACTTTTAATTCTGCTTCAATATCATTACCTGTAATAAGCATGTTTAATATATTTAGATCTTCAGGGATTCATTTTAGTCTGACATAAAGATGTAGAAGTTCATACATTTCTGTGTTGTTTATTAGCTCTTTGGAATATAAATTTCAAAGTATTCCTTAATGATGCTGTAGATTTCACTGGAATCTGTAGTTATATCTCCCCTTTCACCATAAATTTTACTAGTTGATTTATTTCTCATTCTTTTTATTAGTTTGGCTGGAGGTTTGCCATTCTTGTTACCCTTTACAGAAAACATCATGTTTGGCTAATTCTATATATTGTGAGTTTGTTGGTTTCTGTTTCATTAAGTACTGCTTTAATTGTTATTATTATTATTAATTATTATTATTATTTTGCCAGCTACTGATTTGGGACGACTTAAGGTTAATTTTATAGAACCTTAAGGTGAACTATTAGGTTTTTAGAAAACTCTGATTTTTGTTTGATTGTGGGTACTTACTTTCTTCTTCGTAAGCCATAGCTATTTCCCAGAGTGCTTATAGTTTTCATTTGTTTCTAGCAATTTAATTTCCTCCTTGATTTCTTTAATGACCCAATGTACATTAAAAAGTGTATTTTTTTCAAAAGTGTGTTAAATGTCCCAAGTATTTGTGTAATTTTTTAGTCTCTCCTGGTACGGGTTTCTACTTTCATTGCAGAGTGGTCTGATAGGATATAAGGAATTCGTTCATTGCCATCCTCTTCTTTTTCCTTTCCTGTCTTTCTCTTCCCCTGTCCTCCTCTTCCCTCTCTCCCTCGTGTAAATTAAATCCAGTTGATCCATGGTGCAGTTAATCTCCTAATAGAACTTGAAATACTGACTTCTTTATGTCTCCCTGCGGATGGGAATTATGCAAAAAAAGGGAATATGTGTGGCATATACAAGGCACTTGATCAATAGTCACTGAGCAAGATTTTCTATGGAATTTTAACATGCACTACGAAAACAACAATAGCCTTTAAGTACGAAAAGAAAACGACAGAGAAAATCCAAGGAAAAGCGAAGGCTGATTTTCCATCACTGGAACACTGGGCATCATTAAGACCTCTAGGGGGGCATCCAGGTCCTGTGACGCTATCTCTGGACAAAGTGCTCGCCTCTATGCAGACGCTCAGGTCGGCCTTTCAGACAGAAACCCTAGAAGACAGAAATTAGAGGCGTCCTCCGGCATGATTCAAATCCCTGGGCTGGTGTAATGGGCTGTAAATCCACGGCGGGCAGAAAAAACTAAGTCTCGTTTTCCGGGGACCTTTTAGAGAAAGCACTAGCCCCTCCCCTTCCGGCCCGATCTTATGCGCCAGGCCCATCCACGTGTGTTTCGGCTGGAGTGAACTTGGGGAGCTGCTGCGGAGAGATCCGTGAGGTTGTTGTGTGTGGACGCCGCGGGGCCTCGGTGGCCAGGACATCGCCATGGTGGGCGGCGCCCTCTGTCGGGCGGACGGCAAGGGTATCCGCGGACCCGGGAGAGGTCCGCACGGAAGCGGCTGCCAGGGCGGTGCGGGGCGTGGGTGTCAGCCCCGGGACTGGGGTCCGCTGCCCCAGGGCTCGTGGGTGAGCCCTGCAGCCGTGTATCTTCATTAGTACCGCGATTCTGGGCACACTCACCCACGAGTTGCCTTGGTCCACAGCCCCTGGGTGGCCAGTTCCGATCGCAGTCCTGCCTCTACAAGCCCCGTTCCCCCCGCGGAAAGATGTTGTTTTGTCTATGTCTTTAAACAAAGCAGTTAGTTAAGCGTGTTCATAAAACATTTATGTATAGCAGTGTAAAGGGCGCATTCACAGAACCCGAATGCTATGTTTATAGTTGGTTTTGTGTGCGTGTGGATATTGGAAGCTGACTCGTGGGAGTTTGTTCTCTCCTTCCACCATGTGGGTACCTGAGGTCCAACTCAAGTCTTAGGGTTAGCAGCATGCGCCTTTACTCGCTGAGTCATCTCTCTGTCCCCTCCGTTTCTTTGCTTTTTTTGTCTTTTCATGCCTTCCTTGCCTACTTTCAGTCTGCTTATCCATGTGCTTGCACGATTACTAACTACAGTCTTAAGAGTATTTCAGATATTAAAGTAGTTATGCGTAATTATACTGGGAATTCGACTGCACTTGTCCTTAGCAATAAGTAGTTCACATTTGTCACTATTAGTAAAAATGGGTCGCTTTGCGTAGAGGTCAAAGTAGTAGCATTTTTATTGTTATGTTGTAATTGTCACATTTTTGTCCCCATTTTTCTCATTATCAACAGTGCTCCTGCACCTTTCTATAAAAGTCAGCACATAGTTCCAGAGGCGTAAGGGTGACACCTGTCATCTCTGGAAAATTATTTAATTTCCATCAGCTTAATTAGAATGATAGAATGCTTTGTGGAGATTAAAATTATACATATCTGTTCCTTTTCTGCAGCATTAACTTTTGGTCAGTAGAACATGGGCGGGGGAGTAGGTTTTCCTGAATTTTTTCATTTCTACTTATGGTTGGTTGGAAAGGACAGCAGGCCTTAAGCCTGCACAGAATGGGAGGTTATGGTCTAACAGGGTTGGCGGAGCCTGACTTCTTAAGTCAACCAGGAGAGTGCACTGTTTAGTTTTATTTTGAGTTTCTGTTACATAGTCAAATCTGACTCTTAAGTAATATAGGTTGGCCAAAATACAGGATTTCATAATAATAATAATAATAATAATAATAATAAACATTAAATGTATGACATCTTTGAGGACTGACTTCTGATGGCCTTAACTGCTAAGACTTAAGTTGAGGAAATAGGGAAATAGTTTAGTTTTTTGTTTTGTTTTGTTCTTTTCCCTATTTGGGTTTGCTGATTTGGTAGTGGCTTCTATTGTTTCTACATGCTTGAGTTGAATCAGCCAAGTGTGGTCAACTTTGACTTTGCATGTGGCTTTCTCATTTCTTCCATGTTCCACAGGGAAATGCCTGCTAAAATTCTGTTCTTCAACATTAGAAATGTCCTTAACTGTAGCCAGCATTTCTAGCCACAAGTCTCTTTTCCATTGTCTCAGAGCTTGCTTTAAGCTTGCACAGCTGAATCCCTGACTTGTATCGGCTCCCTGTGTGGGCTGATGCCAGTGGAGATTTCTGAACAGATCACTTCTGTGATGAGCATAGGGGAACAAAGACTGTTGGAATTAAGAAGATGTTTGGCCTGTCTCATTTCTAGTGATGTCTCTAGCTCATTGTCTTTTTTGAACGTGATTTTGTGACCAGAGTCACTTAATGTATCTGACTGTGTGTCCTATCTTTTAGCCTAAAGGACTGAAAGGAAAAATTGTAGGTCGGGAAAAGAAAGTCATCCATCCATACAGTAGGAAAGCAGCTCAGATTACAAGAGAATCCCACAAACAAGACAAGAAGGAAAGGTACGTGTCTAGTCCTGTTGGTGTGCACTAGGGCCTTTGTCATCTACCTGTTGGGTGTATTCCTCAGTTGCCACCTCGGCTTCTCCTTTGATAAATGTTTTTTCATGTGTTCTTGTACTGAGGTAAATGTAACAAAGCCTCTCGTCTTTCAGAGCTGATCTGAATCAGAAGTTTAAGTAGCAGTCTGTGGTGACTATAGTGAGAGAAATTAACACAGGTTGAAGAATAAAGAGAGGTTATGTTTTATGCAAGTCATGGGAGACTCCTCAATGAGCTAATTAGCATGTGAGCAGAATTGAGAGATACGGAGGAAACTATAGATAAAGGCATTTCTGTTGTGCAGTGTATTCAACATAACAAAGGAAATGTGGAAAGTGTGGTTAGATGTCTTGGATCTAGGGACTGGTTAGAGATGTCATAGGTTAGGGAGCTGTCATTGTTTATGGGTCAGGTGGATTGAAGCCAGGAGACTAGATAGAAGAATGAGTGCTGTAGATGGGAGAGAACACAGCTAGGGCTGCCATCTCAGAGTTGGGCAGGTTTGCAGAGAAATCTGCCACAGATACTAAAAGGAAAAATATACCAAAGAACATCAGGGTGTTTTTAACAGATTTCAAAACCCTTGCTTTGGGGATTTTCTAATTTGTGTACACAGTTACTTTCAAGACTGGAGAAGAGGGTCTGAGGTTGAAGGGGAAGATACAGCAAAGATTCCATAAAGTGAGGGCCAAATAGAAGTCACTGCTGTTACTTTGGGCTAGCTTTGCTGTCCCAATGAGTACAACAGGTGTTCACATAGTGGCTGGTGGAAATTTGTTCACTATTATTGCATTTTGATACCTTGCCTAAGACCTAAAGCTTCATTTAATAAAGCTTGACTGTTAGAGGTTTTCTAGGAGAGATCAATAGCATAGTCTAATTTTCTTCTTTTGCAGAGGATGTATCTTTTTTACCTAACATGTATGATGGCAATACTGTCCTAAAATAGTAGTTTTCAAAATAGTAGTTTTATCACTTAGCGTTTTTGTTATTTTTAAAATGATTTACTACATCTAAGATAGTATAATTTTTGCCATTGCCCTTATGCGTAGTTAAAAAACTCCATTTAACCTGAGACCACCATATTAGAGCCGTGTTTTTTGCTGTAGGTTTCCCACTCAGAAGGTCTGCTAAGGGCTCTGGGCTTAGGATTTGTATTTCCAGATGGTCCCCAGATGCTACTGCTGCAGGCATAGTCATAGTCCAGTCAAACCTTTGCTTGTGTGAACAAGACTGTTCCTCTGGGCTAAAATAACAGTCTAGTGACATCTCGTCCCAGTGATTTAAAAGATTCATGTCATTTCATGTTTCTTTGTTGTTAAGATTGTCTTTTCTTTTTTTTTTTTAAATTACTTGTGAAAAAATGTCAGAGTTCTCTGGGAAGTTTTTCTTTGCGATATTTTTGACAGATTTCTAAGCCCCTGCTTTGGAAATTTTCTAACTTATATACACCTTTTGGTTCAAGATTGAAGACTGAGAGAGCCTTGCGTCTCAACCTTATTGGTAAGTGGGTCTCAGTGCTTAGAATTCTGGCTGCATACAGGATGGTTTTCTCTAAATCAATTTCTGTATTATTTGTATCAGTTATCTTAAAAAAGCTGACTTAGCTATATGAAAAGAGATGAAGTGGAGCAGAGCATTTGACTTTCAGAATAAATCGCTAGTACTCCCTGAAGCTCAGCTTGGTGGGGACTTTTTCCCCATGCACCTACACATCCTAGCTCATGTTTGACACTCTCTCCCTGCAGGACAGCTGAGGTTATGAAGGGTATGTGTGCTAGTTTGCTGCAGCACATCCCTGAGACACCTGGTTTATAAAGAGGAGTGGGTTTGTTTGGCATATAGCGGTGGGGAATTTGATCCATGAAGCTGATCACGTTGTTTGGGACTGGTAGCAATGCAGAAAGAAGGCAGTCGCAGAGTGGGTGTGTGCTAGGACAAGCTACTTACCTCATACTGGCTGAGAAGGGAAGTCCCAATATCCCCTTCAGTGTCACTTCCTCAGGGACGTAAGAGTGCCCACTAGGCCTCACCTCCAAGTTCTCATCATCTAGGAGCATGGGGTGCTAGAGAGCAAGCCTTGAAGACATGGGCCTGTGGAGGATTGTGGTGGAAGCTTTTGCCTACATTGTGGCGCTAAACTTTTGTACTATTCGTAGGTGATAAACTTCAGTGGTTTCATGGCCATCTGGATACAAACAAAACGAGATATTCAAAGAAGGATGCCTGTGAATTAATTGAAAGGTACATACGGAAATACTGTGAGCCAAGGGTCAGAAAAGAGTTCCAGGGATAGCTATGCCTTGGATTTGGATACAAGTAGATGGGCTTTTAAACAAAAGACTTAAGTTTGTGTCCCAGCTTGGCCCCTCTTAGTTTCCTGGAATTAGGGATGGAGTCCTGGAGAAGCATTTTCTGCACCAGCCCTAGGTGTTCAATTGAGATAAGGTAGCTTGAAAGTGCTTTCAGACTAAGGGAGTGGTGTCTAAAAGGCCCTGGAGTAGAGGGGGGATAGCTGCCAGGTGGAAGGACCAACAGACATTTCATGTGACCAGAATAGCAAGCTCAAAGGCTAGTGTAACTGGTGCTGCAAGTGACAGCTAACTTATGAACAGCATTAGGTGACCATGTGAGTTTGGACTTTATCTAAGGACAGGGAGCTCTGGGAGGACTTTCCAGGAAGCTTGTGTGGTCCTCATGCAAATACTTCAGGTCACAGCCCAAGAATGAGGCTGTGCTGGAGGACCTAATTAAGAGGCTGATGGGACTGTCTGGGCATGATACTGTTGCCCTGTTTAGTAGTAGCCTGATGGAGAGCTAGAGGGAAGTGATATTGAGAGGTAGAACTTAGGCATAGAATAGAGAGAGGCATTAGGTGGATGCCTGTAAACCTCACTTAGGATGTCATACTGTGTCCTGAGGTGAGGGGCTCAGATGATGGATCAGGCATGTTGGGGCATGAGGAAGGGCATTGTATGAGTGTCTCTGTTGAGGATGAGGTACTGTGCTCTAAAGAAGTCCAGTAGGTGATTCAGTGTGAGCTTCCTCAGTTCGGCACAGAGCTTGCTGTGATTTGTTCCCTGGAGTTAAGTGGTTGGGTTAATCAGAAAACAGAGTAAGAATTCTGAGGAAATGAGGAATTTGAGTATGTCAGTAGTCAAAGGACAGGGACACCTAGGTACTACATTTAAAGTGAATTAATAAAGCCTAAGTATATAGACATTGTAACAAAAATAATTTTCATATTTTTCAGGTATTTGAGTCGATTCAGGAGTGAGCTGGAGCAGATTGAGCTACATAACAGCATCAAGGACAGACAGGGAAGGCGCCACCATTCCAGGGAAACTGTCATCAAGCAGACAATGGAGCGGGAGCGGCAGCAGTATGAAGGTTATGGCTTCGGTGTGTATTCTCTGACTTCTTTGCTTTTTTAAATAGCATCTGAGTTACAGTGAATTCCAGAGATTTCACTCTATTGATTTATTTGGTCCTGTTCTGATTTTCTCTTCTTCATGGATAGAATACTTTTGGTTTCGTTTCCTTGTGACAGTTAACACCTGTCTTTCTACTGTGACAGTTGCTTCTTCCTAGCACACATTCTACTTGTCTTTCTTCTGGGTGTGCCCATCTCCAGACAGCTGTCCCTCCTTCCCACTGTTGTAACTCTTGCCTCCAGGCCACGGTAGGCTTTTCTTTCTTAATACTCTAGCCTACATAACTAATTCCCAAGCATAAGTACAACATATTACTGATTGGTACTGCTGAAGACTGGTGGCCTGGATAGCCACCCATAAACTGGTGGCCATTCTGAGGCTACATGACCTACAGATAATACTGTGACTATTTTTTAAAAATAATTTCATCTAAAAATTACAGCATTGTGGTTTAAGAAACCAGATAACCTGGCAACAGACTGTCCAGTGGTGAAGTAGCAGCTGTCCCTCATGTCATTGTCTTCATTCTATTTCTTCCCTGGCCCTTGTAGGTTTTCTTGGTCAAAATAATGGTTAAAATGCATGATAGCAAAATTAAAATTTCAAGTTTTAGTATAAAAAGCATGAACATATGGCATCCCCAAAAGAACTACTGGTGCATGATACTAGAAATTCTGAAATGTGAACTTCCTCTTCACTGCTAAAATGTGTTTCTTAACCTAAAAGAAGAAAGCCATATTTTTTGGCACTAGACACATCCACACTTGATCCCTGGAACCTAAAGGAAAATAAAGTGGATGTCCTCATTTTCCTCAACTTAAAAATAAAATAGATGGTGTGTGTTGGGGGGTGGGTAGTGGGGCATAGGAGGAGAGGAGGCCTGGGAACCAGCATCTTGGATGTAGAATTAATTAATGTAAAAATAGAAATAAAATAGAAACCAGACATGGTGGCACTACCCTTAATCCCAGCCCTTGGAATCAGAGGCAGATGGATATCTTTGAGTTTCTGGCCACTCTGATCTACATAGTTTCAGGATGGCCTAGGCTACATGTTCCAGGCTTCATGTAAATAAAACAGAGGACGTATTTCTCTGGTTCAAAAAGTTGAGGATTAACTCAAAAGTCCCTGCCACAGTACAAGAGCGTCATAGGGCTTCTTCCACTCCTGTGATGTTCGCAGATAATTATGTTCTGTAAATATCAGATGTTGTATGTGAGTCTTTTCCTAACACTAAGGTAAAATACCCTGGCAAAAGCAATGTGTGTGGGGGAGGGGTTGTTTTGGCTCATAGATTAATTTCTTTGTAGTGGTGAAGTCACAGTAGTAGGAGCTGTGTGACATTGTATCTGCATCTGCAATGGATGCTGTTGCTAAGTTCTCTCTTTTCATTCAGTCTGGAACCCAGCCCAGGAAATGGTGTTGCTCAGCACTTAGGGCTGGTCTTTATTCCTCAATGAACCTGATCAAGGTGATGGCCCATGGGCATTCCTAGGCCCAACTCCCAGGTGATTCTGGATTTCATCACGTTAACAATTAAGCTTAAGGACCACAGTTCCACTCTTTGCCATCTTGACACCCAAACACATCACTTTAAATATGCCTTCCTCCCTATGGCTATCTTATAATGCAGAAATACAGTCAATCCAACTTAAGTCCCAGTTCTTGACAGTTGTAGTGCTGCTTAAAAGTCCCTGCCTGAAACTCTCTTAACTGAGCTCCCATGCACGTTACTGGGTCACTTTTTAAAGCTCCTAATAATGATTGTAATTCTTTTCAAATTTTTCATGGCTTGAATGATGTGGGTTTATTTTAATGTTAAGTAATCTTTAAAATCTGGTAAATTCTACCAATGTGACATAAAGCATGGACTTAATAACTTGTCTTTCGTAGCACAACAAAATAGCAAACAGCCACACTTGCTGTTTGAACATGCTGCTTACCCCATAAGTCTGTGCCAATACATCTGTGTGACAAGAGTTCTGTCGTCCCTGGGCACTGGTCTCTGTTCTTCCAAGTGTAGTGTTTGTGTTGACTGTAGCAGTGCTTTGACAATGGTTGTCTTTGGGACTGGAGATTCAGCAGTGCAAATCACTGTTTCAGGCAGCTCATAAATGACTGTGTCTTTAGCTTTAAGGGATCCCATGCTTTCTGGATTGGGCGGGCATCTGCACATACGTGACACGCAGGCACATTTACATATACATTTAAAAAGGTTTTCTTTTTATTAATATCAGTTACCATGTTGTATGTGCGATGAAAAAGTGAGAATATAACAAGCAATTTAAGAAAGAACATGCCTAATGGATATTATTTTCTTTTTCAGAGATTCCTGACATTTTAGACACTAATAATCTGCAGACTTTTCGGTGAGTATCTGAGTTCCTTGGAAGTTGTATTGTGAAATATACAAGGCATGAGCTTCCCTGGGTGTAGATGTTAATAGGAAAGAAAGTAGAGAGCATTCTGTTGGCGTTCCTCTGCTATGAGTGTGCTTGTGTCTGTCTGCAGCACCGAGTGTACGTGCAGCTGATGCTGGAGACACTCTTTTTCCTTCCCAGAACAGTAGTATATCAGAGAGGTCTCTGTCCTCCCCTGATGCTGGTTTTTATTTCTCAAAGATAAAACAACAAGAGCAGAAGAATAAAACTGGTGCCAGGGCAAGCGTTTAGTCATTGAAAACCTTTGGTCCAGGGCTCTGTGATTCTGCCCTGGTAACCATGGAAACTACTGAGCTGTAGAAACTCAGATTCTGTGTATTAGGAAATGTTTTTTTATTAATAATTGTGGTCTTCACTGAAACATGTTAGGGGGTCTGAATTTTCTTTCTTCAGAGTTAAACTAGATGAATTTAAATCCAAGCATAATTGAAAACAAATTGTGTTCCTTGCTTTTGAAGCAGTGTGTATTCTGCTACTTGGAAAGAAAGTGAGAGGAGATGAGCATAGAGTGTTAGCATTGCTGGTTAGAGATCCCTTCATGGAATGATCTCCAGACTTCTCTCATGAGATACCTGAAGACAGAATTGTTGGACAGATAGAGAGGTGTCAGCTGCAGTGTGCCTGTGTGTGAGAATGCCTTTTCAGATTAGAGGTTTGCTACCTGTGACATAATTCTAACTTTTGATGGTCTTGAAACCATGTAGCCTGATAGAGGAGAATGTTTAGGGTAGGGAGAAGAAGGGAACCACAAAGCCCAAGGTTTTCTTGTGCATTTCTGAAGTTTAGAGTGTGTAAGATTCTGTGCATGTAATACTGCTGTAGCAGTAATAAGCAAGTCTTAGGGCTTGGGCTATTGCACCCCCCCATGCTTATGTTGACATTTCACATACATGTGAAATCTGTTATGGATTTGAGGTCTTTCCTCTGCTGTAGGTAGAGTTCTTAAGCTGACTGTCCTTGCCGCCCTCAGCACTACACTCATTTCTTTTAGGGAATGGGATTTTGATCTGAAGAAGTTGCCAAACATCAAAATGAGGAAATTTTGTGCTAATGATGCAATTCCTAAGAAGCGCAAACAGAAAACCATATTGAATATAGAAAAAGATTTAGGGGAATTAGAACTAACTGGGGAAATTGGAGACTCTAAAGATGGGAAATTGGAACCAGCAAGTGAAGCAAGTGACACGGATGAAGAAATGACTCCAGTGCCTGCCTGCCCGTAATGAAAAGAAATCACACAAGACCCTCATGTCCTGCTCAGTGATTATGATACATAATCGTGTGTATGTGTGGGCCAGTGAGATGGCTCAGTGGCTGGGGCCTTCTGCCAAGCCTGACTGCCAGAGTTTAATTCCCAGAATCTATGGTGTGAAAAGAACAGATGCTACAAGTTTTCTTATGACCTCTCACAAATAAATAAAATTTTTAGTAATTATTTATATGTAAGAATTTGCTGTTGAAATCATTCTCAAATAAGTGATATGCAGTTTCCAAATAGGTTTATGATTTTTAAGAATGAAAGTTTTCATTTTAATTAAATTGCTTTTAAAATACAGAGACTGTTGCTCTTGTAACTTTCGGGGAGTCTAAGTAATAACTGAGTGCGTTTTGGGTGAGGCTGCTATGTCACTTCATGGCCAACAGTGTCACAGTGATGGAAATGCGACATGGACAGGGTGCAGCAGGAGGCTAAGGCAGCAAATGGAAGGGTTCTGTGTTGCCTTCTCTTCTGAAGTCCTGTCATCTCTGAACATTGCCATACTGATGGCAGTGAGCAGGGCGGGGGGGCAGCGTTAAACACATAAATGGGGGACATGTTAAACTATATCCAAAATAGCATTGACTGAATTTTACAGAAGGGAAAATCGGGGGAAAAATGGAGTTTGGAAGGTGGCTTGGTCTATAAAGTGCTACAGAGGGCCTGAGTCTCCCTAGCAGGGCAGTGTAGCAGGTTCTTATTATCTCAGTGCTGGGGCGATGAGAGGGTGGGTAGAGATAGTAAACAGGCAAAGAGCAATCGGTACTGGCTCAGTAGTCCATGTCTGAAAGTGGTACTCTGAAGGGTCAGTGCTACTAAACCCCCACCAACGACTCCCCTCAAGGCCAGACACAGACAGCATAGGATTGCCTTGGATGGCATTACTACTATGTGTCATTGTATATTGGAAGCAACTTGTTTTTGATTTTACAGAGACTCATACCAAATTTGACTTGATTCTCACAAAAAAAAAATTTGGACTTTTGAAAAATGTTGGAACTATTCAAGGGCCATGGAGACTTTATAGGGCCATGGGATACCCTTAAGAATTTGAGGCCAAAGGCAGAATGTGGTTTGAATTTTAAATGTTCCCTACAAGCTCATTTTTTGGACACTCCAACTCCACCTTCTGGTATTGTTTTGAAGGTTGTGGAGTATTGACGAGGTGGGGGGTGGCTCTTCGAAGGTTGTACCTGTCCCTGGGTCCAGTTGAGTCTTCCACCATACAAGTGGAAAAATTATTCCAGAAGCTGTAACAAACTGAAAACCTCCTGAAACCGAGCCAGAATACACTTTACCTTAAATCCCCCCCCCCTTTAGGAATTTGGATTACAGCAGTACAAAAGTAACTAACACATATAACACATTCCAAATAACAGTTGAGGTAGCATACTTAGGTGACTCTTTCATGCCTAGTCTCAGGCAGCAGGTCATTGTCAACTAATACAGAGGCTGTTGCCCTGTGCACATTCATAAGTCATGGTACTATCAATTCTACATAGTAATCTACGCTTTCCCCATTTAGCTCTTTTCCTAACTTTATGATTGTGATTTCATTACTTTTTCAAGGGTTCTAACTGTATAAATACTAGTTTGCTAAATATCCAACTGTTGGATCTATGTATTAAAAAGCCCTTTGTAATGGATGCAATATCGTTTTCATTTCATAAGCAGACCCCACTCCATATTGTTTTTGCCAATACCTGAATAGTGTGGTAAATCTTTCATTATAGTTTACTACTTTCTAGACAATGTAACTTGGAAAGCTGCAGGATTAGGTGTGTGCATATGTAGACATGCTCTTGTAAATACACTTAGGTGACCCAAGGAAAGCAAATACCATGCTCTTGGGTGGATGTGCCCTGCTCTGTCCTGAAGCACCATCCCTTCATTTTTTTAATGAGGTCAACTGTGTTGACTTGTCCCGAAGTACTTTACTTTGATGAAGCCAGGAACTTCAGTTTTATCAGTTTGAAATTCTCTGCAAACAGCGCCCCAGACTGCAGGCAGTGATGGATGGCATGGCGAGGAGCTGTGCTTCCTTCATTTCAGCTTGACAGCAGAGCAATGTGAGAGCTGGACCAGTTGGTCGAGAGATGTATCCGTTGTTCATACTCTTATTTTCCTCATTTGCTCTCAAAATGGATTTTTGCAAGTTTGTGTATTATTTCCTGTGGCTAATGTATATTTATTCTTATCTATTTTTGAGGCCCATTGAAGGAAATTGTTTCCTTTTGGTCAAAAGAATGCACTCTACCTCAGGCCTGTGTGGAGACTACCCAAAGCGTAAGAGTTAATCTGGTTGGACTGGTCCATCACCTGGCTAAGGGACTACCCTTCAGAAATGCCAGTTCACCTTCATTCATGCTAAAGAGATGAGTAGTAGTTATCACCTTAATGGGATAATGTCCTTCCTTTCCTGGAAAGCTGGGCCCAGGTGTAGTTGATATGGAGCTGCCATGAAGCTCTGTTAGGTTGTCTCACACGTCTCAGGGAAAGGTGTAACTTTAATTTTTTCCTGTCCTTCTAAACTTGGGCATGCTTTCCCTCCCTTTGGGCTCTCACTTTCACTCTGAAGTCCTCCTACATGTCTGTGCAGGCATTGTTTAGAATGGCTGACATCCATCACTCAACATGCCATCTTTACTCAGATTTCATGACTCTTCAGCTTCTTCCTCCTTGCCTCCTCCCATCTGCTGATGTTTCCAGCTTCCATGACCCGTTGTTGATTAAAGTCTAATAAAATTGCCCTGGAACTTCTTTCTGAATCTGTTCTTGGTTATTTTATTGACAAAACCAAGCATCCTGAAAAGGATCCCCAATTTTCTCAGTAACATGACATCCTAGATGGGGCCCCCAAATTTCCATTGATAACCCTAGGTTGGTAATGCTAAGTGTAACATAAGTATGTTCAAATTCTACTTAAAAAGTCGGACCATTGTCAGATCTTAAGTATTTAAGGTTTAGAATGTTCTAAATACAATTCTAGGAATCCTAGTACATTAGGCAGAAAGTAGAGAAACTAGAGCAAAGATTTGGAGCATTTGTTTAATATACAAAGTCTTTCACAGATAATTAGTTTCCTTAGTTTGTCTTAAGCATATGTTACTCACAAACAGTAAATTGTTAATGAAAGACAATTAAAACTGAAAAAGTACAAATGCCCAATCTCAAAAATTGCACACAGTTTAAAATAATATTTTCTCCTTTGAACATTGCCTTCAATTTCAACATGGGCTTTCTTCGAGTGTGGGAAAAGTGCTTTTGCCCCAAATAGCAGCACTTCCTTTCAGTTGTGTCGTGGGAAATAGCACCATTGAACCACTGATGGAAGTACACAATTTTATAACCATTACAATAGGAAAGTTTAGGTTCTCCATTTAATATTTGCTCCAAAATATCCATTGGCAAGGTAAGATAAATTTTATCTGACAGATGGAATAAATGACCTATTCCACCTCCCTCCATTGTGATCTCTCATAATGATGTCACGGTGTTAATGACATCACTTTTCAACAGAAGAATAAATGTCTGAAGGATACCCATGGTCCTTCTCATAAAAGAAAAATAAGTTTGGGGGTTCTTTGGGTACCAATACCTATAGGAGTAGTTCTGGGTGAGATTTTGATCCTGGGACATTGTGAGAAGGACTCAGTGTGCATTGCAGGATCCTGGGTTATTGGAACTCTTAGGTGTTTTTCTTTTAGTTTTGTAGGGTTTGGTTGTTGTTTTATACTTAAGCCAACCTGCTTGGGGTCAGGGCTTCACTTTTTAAAGATTTATTCTTTTTTTCTAATGTATATATTTGTCCATGTATGTGTGTGGGGACCCTCAGAGGCCAGAAGGTGTTGGATTCCCTGGAGCTGGAGGTACCGATGGTTGTGAACTGTCATGTTGGTACCAGGAACTCAACCAGGACCATCTAAGAGAGCAGAAAGAGTCTAACCCTGGGCTTCACTTTTAAATGTTTTAATTTCATTCCTTTTCAATTGAATATTTAATTATACCTAATGGAAATGCCAAGTCTTGATAGAAAGCGTTTTCAGCGTCTGGTTTATGCCTTTTCTAATAGTGCAGCTTCACTTTGTGTTTATGAAAATCTGTTTCAACAGTTTCAACAATTTGTAAACTCAACAACTCCATGTTTTGTTTCAGTTTCACTTTGCGTGTGTGTGCAATTGTGCACGCGTGTGCATGCGCACGCAGGTAAACATGCCTCAAGATAATGACATTAGGTAAAGCAGTTTTTCTCCTTGAGCTGTTAAGTGTGGTCACCAAAGCCAAATCTTTTCATTGTTAGTAAGTGAAAGCTCCGTTACTACACAAGTGTGCAAAGATGGGTTCAATATTGACTTTATTCATTTAGTTTTAAACCTTGTTGTCAGTTTCGTTTTGTTTTTGGAAAAGGTCTCATGTAGCCTAGACTGGTCTATTTGGGACACACTGTAGCAGAGGATAGCCTAAGCCTTCTAAATGCTGGGATTGCAATTGTGTACCTACTGAAACACATTGGTAAGAGCTAGGGGAAAAAACCTGAAGGAGGGCTAACCCTTGTGTGAAGTCATGATCAACACATCCACCCTTTGTTCATATTTATCTTTAAATCTTTAAAATGGAAACTATTTAGAAACTTAATTCAAAGTTTAAGGGTTAGGTCTTTTTTATGCCATGGGAACTCTTACTTGTTCTGGAGGTCTGGTCCACTTTAGTTATGTCCCTTGTATTGTCCCTGCATATTTAATCTTTGCCTCCCATAAGTTTTAAGAAAGATGAGTTTTTAAGCTTTTGTTTCCTGACTGAATACTTTTTAACATTACTCTTGTATACATACATGAATATACATCTCTTTGTATCTGTGCCTCTCTCTGTCACACACACGCGCGTGCGCACACACACACACACACACACACACACACCCTTGACATTGTTTACCATGTCTTTATTTCTAAGGCTAGAACTATTTGGACCCAGTGTCAATCACTACAAATAGCATACTCAGTTCTCATTGAAAGATCTTTTTTTTTTTTTTCTTTTCCTTTGAGAATCAATGAAGATCAAACACACTGATAATTACAAAGTACTAAATACGTGGATGTGGTACCCAGATTTGTACAACATGATGCCCATGCTTTGGTTTTTATGGCCATCTCTGTCTTTTCAGGATAATAAATAATGACAGCTAACCAAAAAAACAAGTCACTTTTTAAAAATTTATATGGTCTCTTTCTTTGACGGGTAACTATGTCATTATTTACCTAGCTCACTGCAGTGTCATCAGTTTGTGTGACTGTATAGAGCACAATGCTCAACTGTTGAACCGACAACCAGCTCATCACTCACCAAAGAATCTGGGATAGTTTTACTTCTGAGCTGAGCAAGGGGACACTGTCAGCTATGAACCTTAGTTAAGATGCTCACCTGTCAAACTGACACTCCGTATGGGTTTAAAAACAAAACTTTTAATTTTTTTGTCCTGTCACAATTACTTTAAACATATTACACGGAATTTCATTACATTGCTACAGATGGTACTGACTCCCTATACCTTTGTCTTTTCACCCCTTTGAAAAGTAGTGCCTTCATTGGATTTAAGCTGGAATACTTAATTTGATGAGTTTGGTGCTTTCTAAGTCAATCTGCAAAACAAAATAGCAGATTAAACTGCCATTCTGAAATATTCAACTGTTAAGTGAGGCAGGTGTAGCTTTTAATGAAAGGGCTCTGCTGTCCATTATCCATATTAGATCCTGCCCAACACAATATGTTCAGATGGAAGTGTGTCATAAATGCATGCTGGATTTTGAAGACTTGGTCCAAGAAGATGAAAGCCATTTTAATAATTGTTTCCAATGATTACATGAAATAACTTGTATATATAATGTTGAATAAATTATAAAAATTAATTGACCTACTTTTACTTTTCCTAATGGGGCACACTAGGAAATTTAAATTTTACATCTGCATTTGCAACTCATGTGAAGTGTCTACCATTGAGCACTGTAAGAGGGACCAGATAAAAAACACAGCATGATAGTTGCTTGAAAAAAAAAAAAATGCTAGCTAGCTAAACAATGCTCTGACAATCTTTTCTTCATGATTTAAATTTTAGCAAAATTCCAAACACTTCTATCTTCAAATGTGTATTGCATCCATTTAAAAACATGCATCTGTCAAAATAACCAGACTTCACAATAGCCAGAAAAACCAGCTGTCAAAGTGTAAAAAAACCCCTTAGGTCATCCAGGTTTGCCTCTGGTGTGACTTAGGGATGATGCACACAATTTTGGGCTTAAGACCAGATGTATGTCATTTCCAGTGGACAAGGCCCTCCAAAGAAGCACACACTGCATTTGAAGTCTGTTCTGGGATTCCCTCTGCACTACGTGAAAGAGGATTACATGTCCGTCCAGTCTTTCCTCACTGGAAGCATCGCTTGTATCGACTGTTCCTTTGAACTCACTCCCTAAGACGCCTTTCCATGTTCCACTGCAGGCTCTGCTCCTTGGGATCCTGCTCACTTGATATTTTCTCCTCATTTCCTTTTGCTCCAAGTCAGGACAAACAAGTCAGTAGGGGAACGGAGAAGACAAGGAAGCCACCAGAGCAGAAACATTTCTGTGTGTAGTGGCTGGGGCTGCAGAGATCCTTCTGTGAAGTTCCCCTCTAGTTCCATCAGACTGGTATAACTTCAGGTGGGGCACCCTCTGCAGGTGGCGGTGAATTTGAATCTGCCTGTGGCACAGGAACAACCACAGCATCCTTGATTTCTGTGTTAACGTTACATGAGAAGTTCTTCTCCAGTTTGTTGGCTGTGTCTGGACAATTCTGCACAAAGATCACACGATTGTAGGCCTTCAGCCTACGCCACAGTTGAACATAGACTTTACACTGTACATACATGAAGACGAGACCACCCGTGAAGCCAATGGCCACCACAACCAGTTTTGTCCAAAATGGCCATTCCAGCACACCTGTGAAACAGAAAGAGAGGGTGCTGTTACCAGGTTGTCATTTTCACATTTGGTCTCTACTGCTGTGATCCAGACTAAACATACTTGCCCTGGATTATGTATATTGTGCTACAGAGTCAGCCAAAGGAAATAGCACCAGTGTGTGGCTTTCCACTGGGCATTTCCAGTTCAGACTCCCCAGAAAGCAATACTACTGATTTATTCACAGAGCTGATGCTGCAAGGGTCAAGTAGCCCTGGGTATGAAGAGATTGCTTTCCTCCATGAACAATGCAAACTCTGGGATATTTCTGTGCTATTGGTCATTTGTGAAGCTAGTATTTCTCAAATATGACTTTCCTGAATATAAGAATTTTTTAAGTGTATTTTTTTTCTTTGCAAAAGAAATTTTCCTTTGAAAAAATGAGGGTTGGGGTTGGGGAGAGCAACTCTCTGGACTTAAATGGATTTATGTTATTGTCAGGAAACATCTCTCTGCTGTTGTTGATGCCACCTTAGTCCTGCTTACCTAGTTTTACAGTGGTTAAGCGTATGCAGCAGAACTTACTAGAAAGTTTTTACATAGCCAAGAAGTTACCTTCAACTATGTCTCTCTTATACTCTATATCTAAGGTCCTATTTGTGTAGTGCTGGAAACCAACTGCCTCCTGTTCTAATGCAGGCTTAGGCTGTAGCATGGGCTCTCCTCATCTTCTTTATAGTGAACCATTCCATTAGAGCCCATTCCAGTGAGAAAAAGGTGCAGCTTATGTAATGAGGTTGACAGACAGAGAATCCATGCCTTACTTAGTGACACTATTTTCTGCCTATCTCCATGAAACTTCTTGGTCCCTATCACCCTGGCAATCAAGGTCAACCTCTAAAGTTGGGATAGAAAAATGTTTTGCTGTTTAAAAAAGCAAATGTCTTTTTCAAAATACGTCAAATATTCTACAAAGAATTCCACCAGAAACACAAATAATGTTAATTCACTTTGAAGCAAATGGCAGGACAAAGGATATTAAATTGGGAGAGGTGCTGGAGTCACTATTTTGGAGAACTATGGGCACTTGGGCACTATGATCTCATGGATCAAACATAAGTCCTCAGATTTAGCTGCAGGTACCTTTATTTGCTGAGCCATCTTGCTCCTTTTTGAATACACTGCAACTGTCACATTAGGAAAGCAGGACTAATGTGCAAAAGCCAAGCTGGAGAGATAGCTCAGCTGTTAATTTTTAAAGAAACATGAGTTCAGTTTATGTTGTCAGAGCCCATATATCCAGTTTACCTTTTCTGCCATCCAACATTCTCTCTCTCTCTCTCTCTCTCTCTCTCTCTCTCTCTCTCTCTGTCTGTCTCTCACACACATGCACACACACACACACACACACACAGAGAGAGAGAGAGAGAGAGAGAGAGAGAGAGAGAGAGAGCGAGCCAAACTGCACACTTAGCCTCATTTGCCATTCTAGGTCATAGCATCTCCCTTGCCTATGCAGCTGCTGGGTGGAGCACCAGCATCTCTCCAGATGCAACAGTTGAATGTGGATATCATCCTACCTGACTCAGGCAGCACAAATGCCTAACCAAAGCACAGAATGAGGTGAAATAAATGGTCGCTGTTCTGAGCCACTATGTGTGGACAGGTTTTGTATAGTAGACCAACTGACATACTTAGACATGGAGCAAAAGTTAATCCTGCCAATGAAGGCCTTCATCTCAGCTCAGCGAATTGACAGTGTGGTAGATGAGCCGGCAAAGTTCATATGAAGAGTCACTGTGGTGGCCTGACTGGCTAGAGAGTTCCATGTCTCTGACTGAGTAAGCTGCAGAGTAAGGGCAGCCCTCTCTGTGGTGCCCAAACTCAAATCTTTCTCACTTCTTCTAGGCTCCATCTTCTGGATGCCTCCATTATCCAGGGTGTCTGAAGTCCAATTAGCTGCTGGCCATAGTATTGGCACATAGGCAACTCTGTATAACCTCACCATGTACCCCCAGCATCCCTAGCAATTTTAATACTTTTCACCAGAGGGATACCTCAAAAGACCACCAGAAGTCAATGAAAAGGTCTGGTCCTTAAGCATAAGGAGCAACTGTGTATGCTGACTTTGTTAAGGAGTTCTTCTTTCCCTTCCTCTCCCTCTCCCTCTACTACTACTACTACTTCTCCTCCTCCTTCTTCTTTCTCCTCCTTCTTCTTCTTTAAATTTAATTATTTATTATGTATTTGGTATTCAACCTGCATATTTGCCTGTGAACCAGAAGAGGACACCAGATCTTATGTTAGATGGTTGTGAGCCCCATTGGTTGCTGGGAATTGAACTCATTACATCTGCAAGAACAGGCAAGGAGCCCAGAGATCCGCCTATCTCTGCGGGTCAAGTTCCTGCCGGCAACATCCTTGACCCCCAAATCCAGGCCTCGCTAAAGAAAGAGGCCTCAGCTGGAGAGTTCCAGTTTCCAGTGAGATCTGACTATCCTGCAAAACCATCCCAAGTTCCAGCTAAGCCCTTGTCTTCTTCCACCAGCTATTGGCTAGAGGTGAGTCTGGGCCCAATCGGGACTGCCTGTCCCCCACAACCCCTCCCCCCCTGCCCAAACTCCCTGGGTTGGCCCCTGATCCAGCTGCTCCTGTCTCCTGTCCCCATCGAGAGCACTCTTGGAGCTCTGATACACTCCCACCCATCCCCACCACGAGCCTACCCCCCCCACCCTGTGCCCTACCCTACCCAAGGTCCTGCCACTCTGCTTGAGCACTGGGACAGAGGGTGGAACCAACAGTCTACCCTACTTCGGAGACTTCTCGGAGCAACAATGAACAAAGGAGTCCTGACTATCCACGCAGGACCACCCGTAATTTCCACCTGCTTGGTCTCTGACCCCACCTCCAGTCCTCTGCTGGAGTCCAGGACCACTCCCAGAGATCCACCTATCTCTGGGGGACCACTGTGAGTACCTGCTGGCATCTTCTACTGGATCCTCATCCTTGACCCCATCCCTGGGTCCCTGTCTGCAGAGAAACCTCCTAGAGAGCTTGGGTCACACAGAGCTACAGCTATTGAATCGCAGACCCACATAAGCCCATAAGGGAAGTACCAACACCTACTGGAAGAAGCTATGGGAAGAAGGCAATACAAGAAAACACCTAACAACAGAAAGACAAACATGACACCACCAGAATCTAGGGAATCTACACCAACTAGAATGGAACACAACAAAGCAGAGGAAGCAGAAGGGAATGACTTAAAAATTACCATCATAAAAATGATAGAGGCCCTCAAAGAAGATGTGAGAAAATCCCTTAAATAAATGGAGGAAAAAACAAACAAAAAAGTGGAAGAAATGAACAAATTCCTTAAGGAAAGTACAGAAAGCCAAGAAAAAACAATTAACCAGGTGAAGGAAACAGTTCAAGACTTGAAAACTGAAATAGAGAAAATAAAGGCGACACAAACTGAAGTAATGCTGGAAATAGAAAAACTGGGCAAAAAATCGGCAACTACGGACACAAGCATAACCAACAGAATTCAAGAGATGGAAGAGAGAATCTCAGGCGCAGAAGATAAACTAGAAGAAATAGATTCATCGACCAAAGAAAACCATAAATCCAATAAATCCTTAACACAAAACATCCAGGAAATGTGGGACACCATGAAAAGGCCAAATCTAAGAATAATAGGCATAGAGGAAGGTGAGGAAGCCCAGCTCAAAGGTGCTGAAAACATATTCAACAAAATCAACTTTCCAAATCTGAAGAAGGACATGCTCATGAAAGTACAAGAAGCATACCCAATCCCAAATAGGCTGGAACAAAGAAAAAAGACCCCTCGACTTATAATAATCAAAACACCTAGCATACAGAATAAAGAAAGAATATTAAGAGCAGCGAAGGAAAAAGGACAGATAACATATAAAGGCAGACCTATAAAATTACACCTGAGTTCTCCATGGAAACCCTCAAGGCCAGAAGGTCCTGGATAGATGTTCTAAAAGTATTAAGAGAACACGGATGCCAGCCTAGGCTACTATATCCAGCAAAACTCTCAATCACTATAGATGGAGAAAAGAAGATATTTAATGACAAAACCAGATTTTCCCAATACGTATCTACAAATCCAGCCCTACAGAAAGTATTGGAAGGAAAACTCCAACCCAAGGATGGTAACTACACCCACAAAAATGTAGGCAACATATAATACAACTACACCAGAAACAAAGGGTAAAGCAAAACTAATATATTCACAATACCACTGCCAACAACAAACCTAAATCAAACAAGCATCAACAATCAATGGTCCTTACTCAACCTCAACATTAATCATCTTAACTCACCTATAAAAAGACACAGGCTAACAGAATGGATATGAAGACAGAATCCATCCTTCTGCTGCATACAAGAAACACATCTAAGTTCTTCAAAGATAGACATTACCTCAGGGTAAAGGGTTGGGAAAAGATTTTCCAATCTAATGGAACCAAGAAGCAAACAGGCGTGGCTATCCTAATATCTAACAAGTTAGACTTCAAACCAAAATTAATCAAAAGAGATGAAGACGGTCATTTCATATTCATCGCAGGAGAAATCCATCAACACAAAGTCTCAGTTCTGAACATCTATGCCCCTGATACAAAGTCACCCACATTCGTAAAAGAAACACTACTAAAACTCAAAACTCATATAAAACCTCACACACTTATAGTGGGAGACTTCAATACACCACTCTCAACACTAGACAGGACTACAAATCAGAAACTCAACAAAGAAACAAAAGAACTAACAGAAGTTATGTCTCAACTGGGGTTAACAGACATCTATAGAACATTCCATCCAAAGACAAAAGAATATACCTTCTTCTCTGCTCCACATGGAACCTTCTCTAAAATCGGCCACATACTAGGTGACATAACAAACCTCAACAGATATAAGAGAATAAGAATAGTCCCCTGTATCTTATCAGGCCACTATGCTTTAAAATTGGAATTCAACAACAACACAAATAGCAGAAAACCTGCAAACTC